TGCCGGGTCCCCATGTTGGACCCCTCGCCCAGCACAAACCACCTCTGCGACGAGCTGCGGAGGTCTGGCACTCCCCAGAGAATTAAAGGACTTTGCATCTTAGAAAACTCTTTTTTTTCACCTATTTCCGTCACTCCTGCACTCTTTCTCCCTTGTGAATGTACAGTTCTATTTTTTTTTTTCCAGTCAAGTCTGTTTTTCTTTAATTGCCAGCAGGCCCCTCAGTCCAGCCCACCACGACAGAGATGCCCTCTATAAAAACCGAAACGTGTCCAGCGTGCACACGGCCACTGAGCTAACGGCTCCGTGCCCCGAGGCTCCCACGGGTGCTTCTTCCCCTCAGATCTCGTTCCGAGGCAGGGGCTGTGGGGTAAGGCCAGAGCCCCCAGTCACCCCGCCGCAGGGATGCCCCACGCTGCAGCCCAGCTCCCCCCCAGCCCCCGCTTCTCCACACAACCCCCCACTTTCTGCAGGTGGAGGCAGCTTGAGCGCTCACTTACAGGCTCCACGAACTCAAACATCTTCCTCTCCTGGACCTCCTGCACCTTGAAGACGTACTCCAGGGAGACCTCGTAGAAATGCTGCCGAACCAGGTCCACCTGGCTGTCCGCCTGCAAGCGCCGGGGAGATGAAAGAGGAAACAGGGAGTTACGAGCGAGCGGGAGCGCTCGGCCTCGCGACCAGAGGACATCTGGGTCTAACGGGAAAGTGTCCGTGCGGAACAAACTCGGCTTCAGACCCCAGTCCAGGGCTGGACAGATGGCACAGCGATTAAATATAAACCTGATTCACATGAACAGGCTCTTTCTTCAGCTGAAAAATGACTCATGTTCTCACCTCCCTGACAGCTGTGCAGAAAAGCAGGCATTAGAAGCGAGAAAAACGAGAAGTCGCTGCATACTTAACGCTAAAAGTCAGTTCTCCGCTTTCTGGAAAGCGCTGCGGCAGGAGACTGCCCGCAGCGTCCCGGGGCCGGTGCAGGCAGCACACGCACCCTCGGCGGGTCAGCAGACGGCAGATCCCCTCTGCTCTGCACGGTGAGCCCAGGGCAGCAAGAACAGGGGTAAGCCCCAGGCCCAGCGTGTAAAATAGCCTCGGCACGCG